TGTCTGTCAGTTTGTCCTACTGTGGTGATGTGTTGATGTGAGTTTTGAGGCTGAGCCATTGGTGTTTCAAACCTAGTGGGATGCACATGGTGCATAGGTACCAGCCCAGCTTACAGACTGAGACAGACTAGGAAGAAGGAAGAGGCCATCCACTTCTCAAATAATTGGTTGGGGAAAACCTTATGAATAGCAAAGAAACACTGTTTGATACATTACCGTGCAAATTTATGAATAGTCTGGTTAGGTTAGAAAGCTCTCAAAATAGGACTGGGAAAGAGCTGCATCATCTAAGTAAACCCAGCCTTACTCCTATGGATCAGATAAAGCTTTTGAGACCTCCATTTGCTGGTGTGGCACCACTCAAATTGAGGAGAAACAGCTGCAGACACCCATTAATCATCAGAACATGGAATGTACGAAGTATGAATCTAGGAAAATTGGAAATTGTCATAAATGAAATGGAATGCACAAAGATTGATATCCTAGGCATTATTGAGCTGAAATGGACTGGTTTTGGCCACTTTGAATGAGACAACCATGTGATCTACTATGCGGGGAATGACAGTGTGAAGAGGAATGGCATGGCATTCATCATCACAAAGGATGTTTCAAGATCTGTTCTGAAGTACAATGCTGTCAATGATAGAATAATATCCATATGCCCACAAGGAAGACCTGCTAATACAACTATTACTCAAATTTATGCACCAACCACCAAAGCCAAAGATGAGGAAATTGAAGATTTTTATCAACTTCTGCAGTCTGACATTGACCGAACATGCAATCAGGATGTGTTAATTATCACTAGTGACTGGAATGCAAAAAGTTGGAAACAAAGAAGAATCACCGGTAGTTGGAAAATTTGACTTTCTTGCTTAGGCTTCAAAAAAACCAAAAACCACACTCACTGCTATTGAGTTGATTCTGACTCATAGTGATCCTCATTGGATTTCCAAGGCTGTAAATATTTGTGGAAGTAGATTGCCTCATCTGTGGAGCAGCTGGTGAGTTTGAACCACTGACCTTTTGCTTAGCAGCCAATTGCCTTAACCACTAAACCACTAGAGGACTTTAGCCTTAGGAATCTTTTCTCTGTTTAACATGATCGTATATATTTATTATTCATTCATTATATATTAATCTTTAAGCTTAAGTCTCAGAAGATGTTTTATTTCCAAAATGAGGAGTGGAAAGAAGTGGGAAGGAGTCACCCCAAAGTTGCTCTAAGTACTGGCTACATTACCGGAGGAGGGAGATGTTTGAGCACTGTAATGATGGCAGACACCAAACCCTACCAAAAAAAACAAACTCACTGCCGTTGAGTCAATTCGACTTATAGTGACCCCTCCTTGGGTGTCCGAGGCAGTGTCTCTATGGAAGTAGATTACCCAATTTTCCTTCTAAGGAGTGGCTGGTCGGTTTGAACTGCCAGTCTTCTGGTTAGCAGGCAAATACCTTAGACACTATGCCACCAAAACTCCTGCTCTAAACACTACACTAAGAATCAAGATCCCAATATGTTGCTAGAGGCTATTGAGTCACTTCTGATTCATAGTGATCCTATGTACAACAGAATGAAATAGTGCTAAATCCTGCATCATCCTCACAATTGTAGCTATGTTTGAGCTCATTGTTGCAGCTATTGTATCAATTCATCTTGTTGAGAGTTTTCCTCTTTTTCACTGACCCTCTACTTTACCAAACATAATGTGCCTTCTTCAGGAACTGGTCCCTCCCAGTAACATGTCCAAAGTATGTAAGACAAAGTCTCATTATCCTCACTTCTAAGGAGCATGCTGGCTATACTTCTTCCAAGACAGATTTGTTTAAAGGCCTTATTGGAAATAGAAATGTTAGACCCTAAAGGCCAACTTCTAACCTCACTGAAGAGATCACCCCTTATTGGCCATAAAGCATTTGGCCTTTGACTGCTGACTTCAAAAAATTGGGAAAGAGTTCCCCTAGGGCAAGAAACTACCACAGTCTGTCATCGTTTTTTACTTCGATTTCAATGGCCTCTCTTCTCTTTCGAGCTCACCAGGGCTCTGCAGAAGGCTTAAGGAGCAGTTGTTCAGAGATGGAGGCTGGTCTTCTCACTTTATTAAACCAAAACCAGGTGTCATTGAGTTGACTTCAACTCATAGCAACCTCCTATGTGTCAGAGCAGAATTGTATTCTATAGCGTTTTCAACTGTGATTTATCAGAAGTAGATTGCTAGGTCTTTCTTCCAATGCACCTTGGGATGTACTTGAATTGCCAGCCTTTCAGTTAGCCGTCTACTGTGTTTCCACCACCCAGAGACCCCTCACTTTACTAGACTGACAATCTGTGAGATGGTGTAGTTCTTATTCTCTTATTTAAAAAGCTTGGAGCCATATGCATTTTCTATTTCAGAATTTTACACATTTAGGAAAAAATACATATCTTGTATATTATATACACTCCCAGTGAGGTCTAGGGTAGCACATAATATACAAACCAATTAATATTTCTGGAGCACTACATACTAATGTTCATTGTAAGTGGGATAAAGACCCTAAACAGACATATCATATTAGTTCAGGTTTTGCCCCAAATGAGGGCAGGTCAAATAAATTTTACTGCCAAATATGTTAACAAGAAATTTCTTGCTCTTTAGAGCTTAAATTTCTGAATTGTGGGAAATAGATTATCTGTGTCATCAAACAAAACTGTGAGTTGATCACATCCAACTTTTGAGTCATCTTCAGTGCTAACTCAGCACAGTGGAAAACATTGTGTTCTCCAAGACCTTCACTCAGGCTTGGGCAGGCTCCTACAGCTCCCTCTCCTTCTAAGCTTCAGGCTTAAAAGGATTAGATTGTTTCCTCTCCTTAAGTGGAAAACAAAGCTTCTATTGTTTGGGGATGCTTCTCTTCAACAGGGCAGTGTGTTAGACTGGGTTCTCTAGAGAAACAAAACCAGTAAAGCTTATATATATGTATATATAGAGAAATTTATCTTAGGAAAATGGCTCACACACTTATAGAAGCTGGCAAGCCCAAAGTTTCTGGATCAAACATCAAGCTGGAGGCTTTTCCCAACTCTTGCACCCACAGGGGCTGAGGCACTCAAGGCTGGCAGGCAGTACACCAGCTGTTGACTCCAACGAATGATGTATCCAAGATCTCCAGGCTGAATGGTGGATTGTTCACTCATGGACAGTTGTGGGCAGCACAGCAGAATCCTGATCCACAGAAGAATGTCTCCTCTCCCAGGATGTCCACAAATATACTGGAAGCAGACTACACCCCTAGGGAAACTCCCTTTCAACAGATTGGCCGCTCAAAACATAATCATCTGATCCCATCATGGGAACAACCACACCACAACAGTTCAAACCACACATAATTGTGGTCCAGCCAAGTTGACACACAGCTCCAACTATCATAGGCAGTGCCACTTAACATTTTTTAACATCTTGATTCCCCCAAAGAAAAACACATATAGGTTTTACTGCTAAACATTACAGGGAACCAGAACCAAAGAAGAGTTATCAATAATAATAATAATAATAGTAACTGAAATAGTAGCAGTATTGTTACTTACTATTATAACTAAATAATAGTAAATTACTTACTATAACTAAACAATAGTTAGTATTTTTTGAGCCCTTACTATGTCCTAACTACTTTATATACAGGATTTTACTTCACTTCAATATACGCTAATGACATAGATACTAGGATTACTTCCATTTTACAGTTAAGGATGTTGAGGCACAGACAGGTTAATTTACAAACTCAGAAACTTAGAAAATTCCTGACATGACTGGTGAGATGGTAATGTTCCAACTGGCTTAGACTTTGAGTCCCAGTTTGTCGTTTTTTAACTGTTGGGGATAGAATGACAGAACAGTAGGAGCTACCTCCTCCCACTGTAATTGACTTCTTCCAGAGCTTTCTGTGTGAAATACATTTCTTAGCCTTTTCAGAGTTTTGTCATACAATTCTAAACCAGATAAAGTCCATTGTTGTCTTCACATTCCATCTACCACCATTCCTACGAACCCCCACAAAAATGAATAAGCTTAAAAAAAATGTCTTGTTGCTTCAAGTAAGTCCATAACCCAAAGTCCTTTAAGGGACTAAAGGAATTACCATGAGCCAAACCAGGTAGACTTAGTAAATGTAATAGAGTGCACTGCTCAGATGATGCGATGACCACATTCATTGTAATGCAAGTTAGCAAATAGGCCCTACATGGTGCAAAATGTTAACTAATGTGCTTGATTCAAGTCTACCCACAGGCTCCTCAGAAAAATGGCTTGATGAGTTACTTCCAAAAAGTCAGCCACTGGAAACTTGATGGTGCACAGCTCTACTGTGACACATATGGTGTCTCCAGGAATCAGAGTCTACAGCAACTGGTTGGTTAGCAAGCAGTTCTGTATTCAATAAAAATTAGAAAACTGACTTGTGTTCTCCCTGATGTTCATATCTGGAAAAGCCAAAGATGATAACATGTTCATGGCAACTTTTCTGTATTTATGCTCAAAGTGGTCAACTATCCAAACCCATTGCCAATTGTGTCAAGGTTTATATCTCCACCCACATGTAGTGATTTAATCCTTAAAACAGAAAACAAAAGCAAAATCAGAGTGAAACTAAGTTTTGCAAAAATTCTCATCGCTTGTAAAGATACTATAAATTTAAACCAAAAATACTTCAAGATTTAGTCACTAAGCCTTTGTATCCATATAACTTACCATTAAAACACTAGTTTAGAAATAAAATATACATCCCACTACTAAGCAAGTAGTTAATGTTCAATTTATTTAGGGGAAAAAAAAACTAAACTAAACTCACTTCTGATTCTCTTTTCTATTTACACATAAACAACTAGAGACCTAGAACTTATCATCTGCCCAAGAAATATTTTCTTTATACATACATTCTTGAGACTTCTTATAATCACAGTTTTTATTTGTCTTTATTAGAGAAAGGTCAAACATCATAACAAGTGGTAGCTGCACTTGAGGTGCAGTGGCTGGGAATAGAACCCAGACCTCTCACATGGAAAGTGAGAATTCTACCACTAAACCACCACTGCCCCTGGTTACATAGTAGTAACTGTAATAATAGCAATAACAATGCATTGTATGATATTTGAACTATGCTGCAATAAAGTTGAGGTTTAAGAAATGAATAACATTGAATTTACTGAATATGAAATAGAGTGAAGAAGAAGATAGCTTTGAAAAACGGAGAGATCTATGCAGGGTGGCGATGAGGAAAACAAAGATGTCTGGGACACCTTCCCAGGGACCACAGGAAGGTAGAGGAAAGAGGTTTATGAAGATGAAATATTATATGAGTCTTTACCAGAGTCTCAAATGCATCAGCAACCTGGGGTAGATTTACTGGTGTGATACAGTAAGCAAATTGTAGTTATCTCACTAACACACAGACAACACTGATAGGCCCAAAGAGCAAACTCTACTGCTAGTATTCTTATGTTCCAGTGAGTTTTTTTAATTGAATTATTTTGCTGTTGTACTGTTGTTCTTGATGATGATGGTGGTGATGTCATTATCTCAAATACAATAAATTTCTACTGACTGGCTAGATAATAATGTGTTTAGCAATTATTCTGATGTCCACTTGAACATATATTATTTTTTTCAATTTCACTCAGAATAGATTTTTTTTATTTTGCTGGAGCATGTGTTTACTTTCCAGATCGCTTCTTAAGATTGGGCATAGGTAAACTTCTTTCATAAGGTTTATAATGTGCAAATATATAGTCCTTTTTATGCTACTAGTGCATTTATTGGATTAACTAGGATTTGATGTGAAAGCTGAGGATGATATTGAAAACACATCACTTCTATTGTAGCTGAGAAAATCAGCTTTAGAATTAGAGACCTTGTATTGGGCATTATGTATAGACCTTTAGCTTTTTATCACAGCTGTTCTTTGTTACCATGACAACAGAATTAACCATTTCATTAGTACCACTGAGAAAAGACATTTATTTATGCATGTCTGACGTCTAGTGTAGTCCCTGTTTAGATTTCAAGGTCTTGGCATGTTTATATGCTTGTTTTTATCCCTGAATATTTTGCTTAATGTTTCTATGAGATTTTCAAAGCAAAGCTTTATATTTTTAAAATTAAATATATTCGCTGCATTGGTTTGGTTGCTTTTAAGTGTTTCCTGAGTGGAGAAACAGGCTTCAAAATCTGATGCTAGTGAAAGCAATAGGAAAGGAAATTTAATACAAAAGAAAATAGTTACCTGTTATAAGAAAAGTCACTTGTTTGTTTTTCCTCCTTTTGGGTTCAATTTGGTGAAATGGGTGTTACTATAAATACTGAAGAGTTATCCCTCATCAGAATGGGCGATCCAGCTGTTACTGTTGGTACTGAAAGCAGGTAGTGTGCTGATTGCAATTGTGATGGAAAGGCAGAGAAAAAAAAAAAAAAAAATCCCCAAGACAAGTAAAATCCATTGTTTTCAAAATAATACCTCAAGAGAATAATTTTGCCTATTTCCCAAAACCTGTCATGGTTACTTATATATCTGTTTTAACTTTTTAATTTTTCTTATGGGGGGGGATTGAACCCTAACGTGGAATTCTATAAATATTCATATTTTTAAAGACCAATGCAAGATCCTTTAATTAACATTAAAGTGACTTGAAGAACCTGGTTTTCCATTCATATACTTTAGTAAAATAAAGATTATTTTAAAGAAATAAAATTATTCCTTTCAGAATTATTATTAATAACAATTTCTATCTTTGTTCAAGGAGCTCTGGTAACACAGTGCCTAAGGCACTTGACTGCTAACCAGAAGGCTAGCGATTCAAACCCACCAGCCACTCCTCGGAAGGAAGATGGGGCAATCTACTTCCGTAGTGATACTGCCTCGGAAACCCAAGGAGGGGTCACTATGAATCAGGTCCGACTCGACAGCATATAACAACAACAATAACATCCTTGTTCAACACGTAGTATGTGTTAAAAGACTTTGCAACATGCTTTAAATACACTAATTTAATACATAAGATAACAACTGTGGGAAGGAGTTACCACTATCCCTTTTTTATAGCTAGGGAAACTGAGGCTTAATAGAACTTGTGCCAGATTCCAGAACGAATATAAGTTAATTCTAATCTTAATTTGGCTCACCCCAAAGCTTGTGCTAGCATACATTATAAAAAAGTGTCACCTTTGGCTGTTTGTTTCTGCTCATGTGAATACTGCAACAACACTTAAAATACTTACATTCTTTCTAAGGCATGTTGCCCTGGAGAGAAAAAATATCTGAGGAAAAATTATTCAATATAGTTTAACTCATAAGACAAGATAACAAATTTGACCCAGAGACATAAAATCTTTAAAACCAACAAAAGTTCTGTAAGGCACACTGCACATATATGAAAAGTTCTGAATATCGAATAAAGATTTTCTATCAGCCATTGAAATAAAGAAAACAACATTTTACAGAATACAGTATTCTGTTTGCTTTTTAATTTTCTTTCTTTTACCAATAACAGCTTTATTGACATATAACCCATATATGATAAAATTTGCCCATTTAAAGTGTACAGTTCAATAGTATTGAATATATCCATAGAGTTGTGCAACTATCACCATAATCCATTTTAGAATTTTTTTATCATTCAAAACCCCCCATCCTCATTAACAGTTACTCCTCTTTTCCCCCCACCATCATGGCCCTGGTCCTGCGCAAGCACTAATTTACTTTCTTTTTCTAGAGTTGCCCCTTTTGGGCATTTCATAAAAATGAAATCAGACTATGTGGCATTTTGTGACTGGCTACTTTCACTTTGTACATGTTAGTGTAAGGTTCATTCATGTTGCAATATGTATGGTACTTCATTCTATATAATACTCCATTGTATGGATATACCACATCCTGTTTATCCATTATCAACTAATGGACATTGGAACTCTTTCTACTTTTTGGCTATTATGGACAATACTGTTATGAATATTCATGTACATTTTTTTGTGTGGGGTTATGTTTTTGTTTCTCTTTGGGCTCTGTTTACTTTTAAATATTCATCTTCTTAGATGAAGGGAGTTCTGGTAGCATAGTACTTAAGGCACTTGACTGCTAACCAGGAGACTGGCGGTTCAAACCCACCAGCGACTCCTCGGAAGGAAGATGGGGCAATCTACCTCCATAGTGATACTGCCTCGGAAACCCAAGGAAGGGTCGCTATGAGTCGGGTCTGACTTGACGGCACATAACAACAACAACAACTAAGAAGATGAAACTCAAATCTTCTGGTGACTAAAGATCTCATGGAATTATAAACTATATTAAAGCTTTATTTCTATGTTCTGTGAGTTATGGATTAGAAGCACAGTAATTAGTTCCGAAAAACATTATTTAGGATTCTTAGTTACTTTTATAACTTTCACAAATATAGTCAACTAATCTTTTCTATGTGACAATAATTATTTAAGTTCTTTAAAACCTCACATTGAAAAAGTATGAGAAAAGTTTGCATAGAATAAAACTTATTATTAAAGTCTTAAAAAAGGAATAATTTCTCTCTCTTACCTACTTATCAAGCATACATTTTGGCATTAGTACTTCCTCAATGGAATGAGATACTTGCAGAAATAAGACACAACAAAAAAAGATAAGAGTAGGTAAGTGTTCTGTTTCTTACTTCTCAGTGATAATGATGTGAAGGATTCTCTCAGTTTCTTCTTTCCTACTGGTGACAAAACTAAGAGCTAGGTTTTAACAGGGGGTAGCTATTACATCAGCACACAACAACGGTAGTTCACTGATAGAATTCTCACCTTCCATGCAGGAGACCCAAGTTCAATTTCCAGCCAAACTACCTCATGCACAACGACCACCTGTCTGTCAGTGGAGGTTTGTGTGTTGCTGTGATGCAGGTGTGTTGCAGGTTTCAGCAGAGCTTCCAGACTAAGACTGATGTTGTCCATGGGATCCGCATGAGTTGAGGGCTGACTCAACAGCAGTTAATGACCATAAGGCCTTAACAATGAATGGTTCTGACTTTTCTTTTTTTTTCCCATTTAGTTATATGACTGTTCATTAACAGATTAGAAGATTTTGCAATTAGAAATAAGCACATCATTTATTTGCTGAAAGGGAAACTCCATGGGCTTTGCCTTATATTGAGGGTAGGAGTCTATCTCTTCTCTAAGTTGTATAAAGGAACGATGAAAATCACAATCTTTTGCTAAGATATGAAGAGTCAAAAGGAAGATTAAAACAACAAATTCTCTGTATTTCTAAATGATGACTTGTGAATTCCAAGCATATTGTTAAGTTCCATTCCAAAAACTAATAGAAATTGCATCAACTAATAAGGTAAATTAAGTTTTTAACAGTTGCTTCTCATTTCTGCACAAGAGGGCAGCCTTTCCCTAAAATCAAGGAAATACTTGGGCAGAACTTTTTATTAATTTGCATTGAGATCCCTCCAATCATAGAATTCCAAGGTGAAAAGCTCCCTTGACCTAACGAATGAAGAAATTATAAGATAGCTAACACCTTGGGCTGTCATTTCCAGAAAATGTCTTCACATGTAGATTGCTGTACAAATGCTTGCAGCATCAGTGATATTTTACTTTTAATACATAAATATTTGGATATATTAAAGTATTGTGGACAACTTTTAATTTCTGAAATTAATGCTAAGGATAAGATATTTTTAAAAACTGTTCATGCAATCAAATCACTCAACCCTAAAAGACATTATTTCTATCTCACATGAATGTTTTCTTACTGGTTATTCATAATCAGATGTCAAGACTTTAGAATCAGATTACCAAGATCAATTTGAAATGAATAATAACTCATATTGGGATAATTATAAATTTAGATTATAGCATATACTTGAAAAGATTTACCAAGAAATTAAGAGAAACCAAAGAGTTGCTATATACACACATTTTCAAAATAATTAACCATGCTTGACAAGAACTACATGACTTAAATGTATTATGGAGGAACTCAAAATGCTATTAAAAGGTGGAGTTAAAGTTAATTTGCCACACAGAATGGTAAGGGTGACTACGTTTAAAGCTTTGG